ATTATTATTATTATTATTATTATTATTATTATTTCTGATAAGCTTGATTGTTCCTTGAAAAGGACCCACATCTTCAGAAATCAGTTTTCTCTCCCAATTCATTGAGTTTCACATGACATTAAACTGCAGGAATATCCAGAGACTTCCTCTACATATACTTTACTTAGACAATCCCTCGTTGTCTGAGTAGGATGGTCTTCCAGGATCAGTGTATTGGTGGGTCTGTAGGTGACTGTGGAGCCCTATTCTTGACCTGCATGTTCTCTCGCAGTGGAAAGTGGTCCCGGTCGAGGTTGGCTTGACGCGCCTTCCTCTTGGCACGTTTCTCTCTTTTGCCCTCCATTCGTGTCTCTTCAAATTCTACAGAACTGCTGGTCACAGCTGACTTCCAAGCTGGAGTGCTCAAGGGCCAGGGCTTCCCAGTTCTCTGTGTCTATGCCACAGTTTTTAAGGTTGGCTTTGAGCCCATCTTTAAATCTCTTTTCCTGCCCACCGACATCCTGTTTTCCGTTCTTGAGTTCGGAGTAGAGCAACTGCTTTGGGAGATGGGGGTCGGGCATCCGGACAACGTGGCCGGTCCAGCGGTGTTGATGGCAGAGGACCATCGCTTCAATGCTGGTGGTCTTTGCTTCTTCCAGCACGCTGACATTTGTCCGCCTGTCTTCCCAAGAGATTTGCAGGATTTTCCGGAGACAGCGCTGATGAAATCATTCCAGGAGTTGAGTATGACATCTGTAGATAGTCCATGTCTCACAGACATATAGCAGGGTTGGGAGGACAATAGCTTTATCAACAAGCACCTTGGTCTCCCTACGGATGTTCCAGTCCTCAAACACTCTACTTCATTCGGAAAAATGCTGCACTCGCAGAGTTCAGATGGTGTTGTATTTTGGTCTCAAATGTTGACTTTTGTGGAGAGGTAGCTGCCAAGGTAGAGGAAATGATCAACATTATCTAATGTTACACCATTAAGTGGTATTTCTGGCATTGCATAGGGATTAGCACCAGCCTTTTGCTGGAAGAGCACTTTGGTTTTTTCAATGTTCAAGGACAGGCCAAGCTTCTCGTATGCTTCTGTGAGGGTGTTTAGAGTGGCTTGTAGGTCTTCTTCCAAATGTGCACAGCCGACATTGTCATCAGCATATTGGAGTTCTATAACATGTTAACTATGCCACCTGTACATATAATAGTATCTTGAGAAAGGGAAGGTTTGACTCTGGGGGTTGGTTGGTACTCAGGATCATCTCCAGCTCCAGGATCCGTAGACACCTCCAAGGTCATGTGGCCAGCACCTATTGATCTATTCACATTTGCATGTTTTCTAATTGCTAGGTTGGCAGAAGCTGGGCTAACAGTGGGAGCTCACCCCTCTCCCTGGATTCGAACCTGCGACCTTCCGGTCAGCAAGTTCAGCAGCACAGTACAGTAGTTTAATCCAGTGCCCTCCCGGGGAAAGGGACGCTTCCCCTTTAAATATATAAATAAGCTTCTGGGGGGCCAGGCCTGAGAGCCGAGCCAGCCTCCAGGGCAGGCAGCCTATCAGAGGCCATGCCCTTCCTCATATTTTATTTCATGTATAGTTTTTTATTTAAAATAAATGCAATATCAATATAGAAATAAAGACTCTCCAAGTCAGGCTGCCGGGCCCTGTTCCTTTCAGAAGCACTCTCTCCTGACGCTTCGCCCACATCTCTGGCTAAAGGCATCCTCAGAGGTTGGGAGGTCTGTTGGAAACCAGGAAAGTGGGGTTTATATCCCTGTTGGAAGGGTGTCCGGGGTAGGAGAAAGAAACAATCGTCATAATAAATAAATATATAATATGATATTTTGTATAAATAATAATGATAATAATGGAATACAAATAATGGATATGTAACAAATATATAATGTAATAATATTTTGTATAAATAATAATAATAATAATAAAATTAATAATAATAATAATAATAATAATAATAATAATAATAATGGAATACAAATAATGGATATGTAGCTGATTTGAGTCTCCTTTGGGAGAGATAAAGTGGGTTATAAATAAACAATAATATATAATTTAATAGTATACTGTAAAATATTAGATAGAGAGAGAGAGAGAGAGAGAGAGAGATAGAGAGATAGATAGATAGATGCTCTGTTCGTTTTGAGTGACATCATAACTCAAAATCCGTTGGACGAATTGCCACCAAATTTGGCCAGAAGACATCTACTAACCCAAGAAGTGACCATCACTCAAAAAAGTTGATTTTGTCATTTGGGAGTTGTAATTGCTGGGATTTATAGTCAGCCTATAATCAAAGAAGGAGCCCCCGGTGGCGCAGTGGGTTAAAGCACTGAGCTGCTGAGCTTGTTGATCGAAAGGTTGCAGGT